ACTGCCTTCCCCAACTCCTGCCCATACTGCTGCTGCCTTCCCAAACTCCTGCCCATACTGCTGCTGCCTTCCCCAGCTCCTGCCCATACTGCTGCTGCCTTCCCCAACTCCTGCCCATACTGCTGCTGCCTTCCCCCATACTGCTGCTCCTGCTCCTGCCCATACTGCTGCTGCCTTCCCCAGCTCCTGCCTATACTGCTGCTGCCTTCCCCAACTCCTGCCCATACTGCTGCTGCCTTCCCCAACTCCTGCCCCATACTGCTGCTGCCTTCCCCAACTCCTGCCCCATACTGCTGCTGCCTTCCCCAACTCCTGCCCCATACTGCTGCTGCCTTCCCCAACTCCTGCCCATACTGCTGCTGCCTTCCCCAACTCCTCCCCCGGCCGTTGCTGCCTTCCCCAACTCCTCCCAAGGCCGTTGCTGCCGTCCCCTGCCCTCCGCGCCACTACAAGGAAGCGAAGGAAGTTTTCAGAAAAAAGGAGAACTTGAAGGAGATTCGATTTGGATTTGAATTATTTCTTCATTTGTTATTCATCCAAACACCTCAAGGGTTTAGGACAGAATTTCGATGAATCGAACTCAAATGACTCATCAGGTTGTATTCTTTCATTGATTCATCGTCTTTCACCAAGACTCGTTCCCCCATATTCACCCACTCACAACGACAGTCTGTGTCTGCCACAATCACAACAACAGTCTGGTGTCTGCCACAATCACAACAACAGTCTGGTGTCTGTCACAATCACAACAACAGTCTGGTGTCTGTCACAATCACAACAACAGTCTGGTGTCTGTCACAATCACAACAACAACAGTCTGGTGTCTGCCACAATCACAACAACAACAGTCTGGTGTCTGCCACAATCACAACAACAGTCTGGTGTCTGCCACAATCACAATCACTACAACAGCAACAACAGTCTGGTGTCTGCCACAATCACAACAACAACAGTCTGGTGTCTGCCACAATCACAACAACAGTCTGGTGTCTGCCACACAATCACAACGGTGTCTGCCACAGTCTGGTGTCTACCACAATCACTGCAACAACAGTCTGGTGTCTGTCACAATCACAACAACAGTCTGGTGTCTGTCACAATCACAACAACAACAGTCTGGTGTCTGCCACAATCACAACAACAGTCTGGTGTCTGCCACAATCACTGCAACAACAGTCTGGTGTCTGCCACAATCACAACAACAGTCTGGTGTCTGCCACAATCACTGCAACAACAGTCTGGTGTCTGTCACAATCACAACAACAGTCTGGTGTCTGCCACAATCACAACAACAACAGTCTGGTGTCTGCCACAATCACAACAACAGTCTGGTGTCTGCCACAATCACAACAACAGTCTGGTGTCTGCCACAATCACTGCAACAACAGTCTGGTGTCTGCCACAATCACAACGACAGTCTGTGTCTGTCACAATCACAACAACAGTCTGTGTCTGCCACAATCACTGCAACAGTCTGGTGTCTGCCACAATCACTGCAACAACAGTCTGGTGTCTGCCACAATCACAACGACAGTCTGGTGTCTGCCACAATCACTGCAACAACAGTCTGGTGTCTGTCACAATCACAACAACAACAGTCTGGTGTCTGCCACAATCACAACAACAGTCTGGTGTCTGCCACAATCACTGCAACAACAGTCTGGTGTCTGTCACAATCACAACAACAGTCTGGTGTCTGTCACAATCACAACAACAGTCTGGTGTTTACCACAATCACAACGACAGTCTGTGTCTGCCACAATCACAACAACAACAGTCTGGTGTCTGCCACAATCACAACGACAGTCTGTGTCTGCCACAATCACAACAACAGTCTGGTGTCTGCCACAATCACTGCAACAACAGTCTGGTGTCTGTCACAATCACAACAACAGTCTGGTGTCTGCCACAATCACTGCAACAACAGTCTGGTGTCTGTCACAATCACAACAACAGTCTGGTGTCTGCCACAATCACTGCAACAACAGTCTGGTGTCTGTCACAATCACAACAACAGTCTGGTGTCTACCACAATCACAACAACAGTCTGGTGTCTGACACAATCACAACTACCACAATCACACACAACAGTCTGGTGTCTGTCACAATCACAACAACAGTCTGGTGTCTGTCACAATCACACAACAACAGTCTGGTGTCTGTCACAATCACAACAACAGTCTGGTGTCTGCCACAATCACAACAACAGTCTGGTGTCTGCCACAATCACAACAACAGTCTGGTGTCTGCCACAATCACAACAACAACAGTCTGGTGTCTGTCACAATCACTACAAAAGTCTGGTGTCTACCACAATCACTACAACAGTCTGGTGTCTGTCACAATCACTACAACAGTCTGGTGTCTGCCACAATCACAACAACAGTCTGGTGTCTGTCACAATCACAACAACAGTCTGGTGTCTGCCACAATCACAACAACAGTCTGGTGTCTGCCACAATCACTCTGGTGTCTACCACAACACCACAATCACAACAACAACAGTCTGGTGTCTGTCACAATCACTGGTGTCTGCCAAATCACACAGTCTGGTGTCTGTCACAATCACAACAACAGTCTGGTGTCTGTCACAATCACAACAACAGTCTGGTGTCTGTCACAATCACAACAACAGTCTGGTGTCTGCCACAATCACAACAACAGTCTGGTGTCTGCCACAATCACAACAACAGTCTGGTGTCTGTCACAATCACTACAACAGTCTGGTGTCTGTCACAATCACTACAACAGTCTGGTGTCTGCCACAATCACTACAACAGTCTGGTGTTGTCCAAGGTTGGAGGCCAGACGCTAGGGGCTTGCTTCATCCTACTTTTCAGGGGAATGGTTTGGTGTATAGGACTGACATAGGCTCGTCGGGGTCTCCAGCATTTAAGAGAGAATAGCGTGCCACAGTCACATACGACTGATTTGCGCATTGCTCGCGAGCTACCTTGGTAATATTTAAAAATAGTAATTTCAAAACTGATTTTATAAAGTAATGTGTAAAACGAAATATTGATCTCGGGATAATTAACAATCTAAATTTTTAATCATCACACTTGATCCATAGTAGTATAAAACAGACGATCCTCTCACAGCTTCAAAGACTTTATCAAAGCCACTGGAACACTATTATATTTTTTAATTGTTTCTGGGGAAGGAGAGGAGGTGGGTGAAGAAGCGGAAGATATATATATTTTTAAGTATTTAAACACATTTTGCAAAGATATCGGGACGTTAACAGAAAATGTTTATTTATCATACTTTGGCAGTGAACAGTAAAGCACGTAAATTAAAACCGAGCCGACGTCATCTTAAAAGCCCCGTCCATTTCTCATTCACACCGCTAGGCTCCTCCCACAGGCCGACCACCCACATTCCAATGGGAAACATTTATATTACTTTCATAAGCGAGGAAGAGAGAGAGAGAGAGAGAGAGAGAGAGAGAGAGAGAGAGAGAGAGAGAGAGAGAGAGAGAGAGAGAGAGAGAGAGAGAGAGAGAGAGAGAGAGAGAGAGAGAGCATAAAGACAAACTGACAGAGAAAGAATGTGAAAGAGACAGAGACAGGTAAGAGGCTCACCTTGAGTCTGGAGTCTCGGAATTCCCTCAGGCAGCAGACGAGGCTCCTTATGTTGTTGGGTTGCATGGGCGAGGTCCAGAGAATAGATGAGGCTGATCTTCTAAATTGAGGGCTTGATAGTGAGCTTCTAAATTCTAGTTACAAGTTCTATTTGTAATCACTTTTCACTTTTTTCCTATCCCTTTGTTGACTTTTCCGCATTACACTATTCGCTTCTTTACCATTACACTAATCACTCCTCTCACCACTACACTCTTCACCTTTAATTTGTTCTGTCAGTAATTTGTTCTGTTAGTATTTTATTCTGTCAATTCCACGAGATTCACTCCTAGGAAAATAGCTTCTGCCCTAGTAACGGCCCTCACGCCTAAGTGCTGCAGTTAGAAGTCAGAACAGTTCACCTGAAACACAGCAGGTACAAGGCTAAGAGACGAGGCATGAAGAACTACCCTTCACTCCCCCCCCCCTAGACACTGATATGTAATTTCTGATAGGTAAGTACACTCAAACCCGACTCTCAACGGAAGGTAGCCAACCTATTGCTAGTTCCTCCTTGTCTTTCTTCTGTACTCTCGTTCATCACTGAATACTCAGTTACCCCACAAGTGTCCTTGAGGGCCCGAGTCCAAGGGCCTCACATCATCTGTATTGCTATAAGACTTGACCACTTAACTACCTCCCTTGATTGTTGGTGTATCGTCTGGGCCTGACCAGTGAGTTCTCCTTGGCCGCTGTCTTGAAGTGCCATTTCGTCTCCTATCCTACACTTGAGCACTTAAAAGTACAAATCATGCTGTCATGTCTATACTTTTCGTGACAAAATGTTTCACTTGTGGCATATGTTGACCAAACCACACACTAGAAAGTGAAGGGACGACGACGTTTCGACTTGAGAATGGTCCAGGACGGACCGAAACGTCGTCGTCCCTTCACTTTGTAGTGTGTGGTTTGATCAACATATTTCAGCCACGTTATTGTGACTCCTCGTCTGCTTGAAGCATATATTCCATGACGGAATGCTGTAATGAGTTAAGAACTTCAAGAACTATCACATGCACTGGATAACACTGGCGATACAGTAGAGCCACCGACGTTGTCACTATCAAGACTAACATTGTTCCTCTAAATCAACAACAACAATAATACTGAATCCGGATTCACGGGTTGTGCTCATGGACGGCCTGTGACAAGAATCCGTGAAGACGGCACCCACTCTCCCAACCTAAATGTTACGAGAACCGAAGAATCACAAGCACGGACTCAAGTAAACAATGGTTACGTACTGGCAGTAATGGAGGCATTTAGAAAGGTACTGGAGAAAGGTACTAGAGAAAGGTACTAGAGAAAGGCAGTGGAGAAAGGTACCGAAGAAAGGTACTAGAGAAAGGCAGTGGAGAAAGGTACCGAAGAAAGGTACTAGAGAAAGGCAGTGGAGAAAGTCACTGTCTGGACAGTGGAGAAAGTGGAGAAAGTGACTGGAAACACATGGCCGTGGTGCACGACACATGACCGTGGTGCACGACTCATGACCGTGGTGCACGACACATGGCCGTGGTGCACGACACATGACCGTGGTACACGACACATGGCCGTGGTGCACGACACGTGGCCGTGGTGCACGACACATGGCCGTGGTGCACGACACATGGCCGTGGTGCACGACACATGACCGTGGTGCACGACACATGGCCGTGGTGCACGACACATGACCGTGGTGCACGACACATGGCCGTGGTGCACGACACATGGCCGTGGTGCACGACACACATGGCCGTGGTGCACGACACGTGGCCGTGGTGCACGACACATGGCCGTGGTGCACGACACACATGGCCGTGGTACACGACACATGGCCGTGGTGCACGACACATGACCGTGGTGCACGACACATGGCCGTGGTGCACGACACATGACCGTGGTACACGACACATGGCCGTGGTGCACGACACGTGGCCGTGGTGCACGACGCATGGCCGTGGTGCACGACACATGGCCGTGGTGCACGACACATGACCGTGGTGCACGACACATGACCGTGGTGCACGACACATGACCGTGGTGCACGACACATGGCCGTGGTGCACGACACATGGCCGTGGTGCACGACACGTGGCCGTGGTGCACGACTCGTGGCCGTGGTGCACGACACATGGCCGTGGTGCACGACTCGTTGCCGTGGTGCACGACACACATGGCCGTGGTGCACGACACACATGGCCGTGGTGCACGACACATGACCGTGGTGCACGACTCGTGGCCGTGGTGCACGACACACATGGCCGTGGTGCACGACACATGGCCGTGGTGCACGACACATGACCATGGTGCACGACACATGGCCGTGGTGCACGACACATGGCCGTGGTGCACGACACATGGCCGTGGTGCACGACTCGTGGCCGTGGTGCACGACACACATGGCCGTGGTGCACGACACACATGGCCGTGGTGCACGACACATGACCGTAGTGCACGACTCGTGGCCGTGGTGCACGACACACATGGCCGTGGTGCACGACACATGGCCGTGGCGCACGACACATGGCCGTGGTGCACGACACATGACCGTGGTGCACGACACATGGCCGTGGTGCACGACTCGTGGCCGTGGTGCACGACACACATGGCCGTGGTGCACGACACACATGGCCGTGGTGCACGACACATGACCGTAGTGCACGACTCGTTTTGATGTTGGGATATTTTGATGTTGGGATTGTGAAGTCAAAAAACGCTGTATTATTGGAATAGACAGGTTGATTCAGGAGGACCTGGCCCACGCTGGCTTCACTGCGACACCCTGTCAGCTCCTGTCTACGAGATCTGTATTCCACCCGTCCTCTCGATCCTTCCCAAACGTCACTAAACTTTTGTACTAATTTGCCCGAGCCTAACCTAACAGAAAATATACGAACAAAAAATGGGACTTCATGTAAATTTTGCTAGTGGCTTTTATATATTTTGCTGAAAATTTGTTTTTAGCCTATCTTTTGTAGCTTCTAGGGATTAATGGCCCCGCGGCCCGGACTCCGATCAGGCCTCCCGGTTGGTCGTCTGGCCAATCAGGCTGTTGGACGCAGCTGCTCGCAGTTTGGGATTTATATGTCAAAATTACTTTTCTAGAGGAAGGGTCCTGCTTGAATACCGAGTAGATAGATTATTATGAAATAAATATTATGAAGAGCAAAAGAGTACAACCATGATGCAGCCTCTTAGTGAAGGAATCATGAGCTGTTCATGATTATATTGTATCTATAATTATATTGAGTGTAATATCTATTGAAGTTACATCATGGTTCATTTATCAGATAATTATAATTATTAATTGAAAGAATGTATCTCTCACTTCCAGGGACTGAGTCAGGAGCCCCCATGGTAACACTGTTACTAACAGTCAACTGTAAGGTGAGTGGGAGCCCCATGGTAACACACCAACAGTCAACTGGAAGGTGAGTGGGAGCTCCATGGTAACACTGTCACCAACAGTCAACTGGAAGGTGAGCACCATGGTAACACTGTCACTAACAGTCAACTGGAAGGTGAGTGGGAGCCCCATGGTAACACTGTCACTAACAGTCAACTGGAAGGTGAGTGGGAGCCCCCATGGTAACACTGTTACTAACAGTCAACTGTAAGGTGAGTGGGAGCCCCATGGTAACACACCAACAGTCAACTGGAAGGTGAGTGGGAGCTCCATGGTAACACTGTCACCAACAGTCAACTGGAAGGTGAGTGGGAGCACCATGGTAACACTGTCACTAACAGTCAACTGGAAGGTGAGTGGGAGCCCCATGGTAACACTGTCACTAACAGTCAACTGGAAGGTGAGTGGGAGCCCCGTGGTAACACTGTCACTAACAGTCAACTGTAAGGTGAGTGGGAGCCCCATGGTAACACTGTCACTAACAGTCAACTGTAAGGTTAGTGGGAGCACCATGGTAACACTGTCACTAACAGTCAACTGGAAGGTGAGTGGGAGCACCATGGTAACACTGTCACTAACAGTCAACTGGAAGGTGAGTGGGAGCACCATGGTAACACTGTCACTAACAGTCAACTGTAAGGTGAGTGGGAGCCCCATGGTAACACTGTCACTAACAGTCAACTGGAAGGTGAGTGGGAGCCCCATGGTAACACTGTCACCAACAGTCAACTGGAAGGTGAGTGGGAGCCCCATGGTAACACACCAACAGTCAACTGGAAGGTGAGTGGGAGCCCCATGGTAACACACCAACAGTCAACTGGAAGGTGAGTGGCACATCTCTTCTCCTTTCAATGCACGAAGAGCAGTTTTCTTTACACTTAAATCTCACAGAAGATTCGGAGAAATTGGTCGGACTCGAGTCGTTCTCGGAGTTTGTAAGAGACCAGCAACATCTATGCTTAGTGACTGGCCGTATGTGGGGAATTTCCTAGCAGGTAAATTCATTAAAAGTTATTAATAAGATAAAGTAGACTGTATTAGGAAAAAATGGACTGTATTAAAAATTCTTGGACCAGATTCACGAAGCAGATACGGAAGCACTTACTAACGTGTACATCTTTTCTCAATCTTTGACGGCTTTGGTTACATATATTTAACAGTTTACAAGCATGACAACTTTCCAATCAACTGTTGTTATTGTTATAAACAGCCTCCTGGTGCTTCGAAGCTTATTAACTGTTTAATAATTGGAAACAAAGCCGCCCAAGATTGAGAAAAGGTGGACAGGTTCGTAAGTACTTACGTAACTGCTTCGTGAATCTGGCCACTGGACTTCTGCTGGGTGTTACCCTTTACACATATCTTAGAGGGGGGCGGGGTGTCTATCGCTAATGCTCGATAGATAGGAAAATTTAAAAAAGGATTAGTAAACTAAACTTCTGGTATTATTTTAAATACTCAAATGACCTTTTCTGTATGGTTTCAACATGAGTACAAAAGGGCATCGGGTTAATCAATCAGGAATGCACCTATTGGCCCATGGCGGCTGTCCCACATGTGTCGACTGGTTGATGTCGTCTGGGTCCTGATGACCACCACAGTTCTGCAGGAATTGTACAACTACTGCAAATATTACCTGTCACAGATATATCGCGTTCAGTATCATGAGTTATTTACTGTTAAGAGGCTCCCCATGATATGTGGGATCGCCTGTGGTATAACCTGTCATCTATCTATTTTACTATTTAAGGTCAACTAATATATATAAACTAGATGTCTGACAAACTGGATACAGAGTACACTCATAATTGGAGGTCACAGCATCTGTAGAACGCTGTAACGGCCCGTAAGTCGAAGACAAGTTTGGCCGCTAAGTTTGCGTCCTCACGAGGCCTGTGCTAGATCAACAATGGCTTCTCTTCCTCCTCTGGGCTTAGACACATTAATAGTCAGTCACTAATTTCTGCCCATTTATTAATAAGAACAGGTAGGCGTTATTTTATCAGTACCAATCACAGAAAACATGTTTTAGTGTTTGTAATGCTGGACTGGACGTTTCCAAGAAAGTATATTATATGTCATGTATATAAAGTTTATGGCGTGACTATTGCATTTCCTATTGACTCGACTAGTCACGTCGGGTATATTTCGCCTCAGGGAGAAAGTTACTTAGTTCTTTCTAAGGTTTAATTTGAATCCAGTATAATATAATACTTTTAAAGTGTAATTATATTGTAAACTGGAAGAATTAAAAATTTGGGAGAAATAATAGTCACGTCGCCAACATTCGCTGACGTAACACTCCTCCCTGCTTTCCAGGGAGCTTCTAGAACGTTCCTCACTGGAAAATTTATACAGTCAGTATGGTTAGTTTTCTGACATAACGAATTTAGTTTATTATATCAGAGGTTAGTCATTGGGGTGTTGGAAATTTCCGACACCGTCAACCACAGCATCTTGAAGAGATTCCCTCTGACTACGATGCTAGTTCTCAAGCTTGTCAGAATGCGCATCTCTACAAGACAGCAAGATTGATGCACAACTGCAAGTGGCTACCTGGAGACGGACTCCTTTGTCGCAGCAAATCCTGGACGGATAAAGTGAACTGGCAGGATTCGTATTTGCTTCTCAAGATCCCATCCACAACAACAGACAATATTTGGTTAACAATACAATATACATTGCATTGACAACGTTGATATTTGGTTGACAATACAATATACGTTGACAACACCAGACAATATAACAGCAAGAAAAGTAATGCTACTTTTCCAAGCCTCGTAAACACTGGAATAACTGAAGATGGTGTCACCTCGTACTTCTCACCGCGACGTTTCGAGCCAATTAAAACAGGTACAGTAGCTGAGACATAACTTCTCAGGCAAATTCTCACCAGAATGTAAGAGATTCGCAAGTTTCTCGAATACATAAACCTGAGTCTGATCTCATGAGTGGTGATGAAGCCCCAAGGAACACACAACGGACGTACGGAGTCAGTAACACTACACACGAGGGAGCTCTGCCAGCTGGTTATGAACTATAACACATTATACCACCTGACTACAGTATGGACTCTCAGGCTGAGAGTCAAAGCCACAAACTTCACCAGGACGATCCACTGATACGTGCTGGTCTAGAGGGAGACATAGTCCAGTCTACCAGCTAAGGAGCATGGAAATGAAAATGGAAGTTTTCAGCTTCAAAACTTTACCCAATCTGAAGACGACAGTGGCCATCGAGGTGTAACCGGCCGAGGAGAGTCAAAACATATGTCCTCAAATTCGCCTTGGGCCAGGACGGGGTCGTGGTCACCTTGGGCCAGGACGGGGTCGTGGTCACCTTGGGCCACGACGGGGTCGTGGTCACCTTGGGCCAGGACGGGGTCGTGGTCACCTTGGGCCACGACGGGGTCGTGGTCACCTTGGGCCAGGACGGGGTCGTGGTCACCTTGGGCCAGGACGGGGTCGTGGTCACCTTGGGCCAGGACGGGGTCGTGGTCACCTTGGGCCAGGACGGGGTCGTGGTCTCCTTGGGCCAGGACGGGGTCGTGGTCTCCTTGGGCCAGGACGGGGTCGTGGTCACTTTGGGCTAGAGGGGAGTCGTGGTCGGAAACGCCTTCGATTTCCTCGTCGACGGAAACTGAAACCTCCGAAACGCTAATCTTGGAAAAACACTCCTTCACATAAACTCAAGATTAGTATTTCATCTCGAAAATTGTACGAAATGACGGAAACTCCTGCTTCCAATAAATTGATTTTCATGACATCACGAGGCAAGAAGCTGCTCACTTTGTTCACAACAGTGATTACTCTACAGATAAACAGATTTCGACTGTTCCTCCTTTTGGTCGCGGTTACTCATTGGATTTGTATTCTACTGGTGATGGGCGGCAGAGTATCAAACCACAGCATCACGAGTCAGCCAATAGTTCAGGTTCCATTTTAGAAGAAGACGAAGATGCCTGGGTAGATGATACTCTCTATTCACAGTGCAGAAAGAAAATGCTTTGGACGGTTTAATAAACTCTAAAACTTAGGAAACTCTTCTTGGTGTCGAACAGATGATTCATCTGTTCCAGCATCTATTAAACCGACTAATGACTCGAGTCTGGTTAACAATGATTAAGTTCAATTTTCAGAGATTTCCACTGGCAAATGGCAGGAGATTTCCAACCATTCCCGCTCTTCAAGCGCTAATTCAGGACTAGCAAGAAACGAGAGATTTAATGTTCAGAAGAACTTTA